ACTCACCACACAGACCCCCACTCACTCACCCACACAGACTCCCACTCACTCACCCATACAGACCCCCACTCACTCACCCACACAGACTCCCACTCACCACACAGACCCCCACTCACTCACCCATACAGACCCCCACTCACTCACCACACAGACCCCCACTCACTCATACACATAGACCCCACTCACTCACCACACAGACCCCCAATCACTCACCCACACAGACCCCCACTCACTCACCACACAGACCCCCACTCACTCACCCACACAGACCCCCACTCACTCACCCACATAGACCCCACTCACTCACCACACAGACCCCCACTCACTGACCCACACAGACCCCCACTCACTCACCCACACAGACCCCATTCACTCACCCACACAGATCCCCATTCACTCACCCACACAGACTCCCACTCACTCACCCACACAGACCCCCACTCACCACACAGACCCCCACTCACTCACCCACACAGACTTCCACTCACTCACCCACACAGACCCCCACTCACTCACACAGACCCCCATTCACTCACCACACAGACCCCCACTCACTCACCCACACAGACTCCCACTCACTCATCCACATTGACCCCCACTCACTTACCCACACAGACTCCCACTCACCAGAGAGACCCCACTCACTCACCCATACAGACCCCCACTCACTCACCACACAGACCCCCACTCACTCACCCACATAGACCCCACTCACTCACCACACAGACCCCCACTCACTCACCCACACAGACCCCCACTCACTCACCACACAGACCCCCACTCACTCACCCACACAGACCCCCACTCACCACACAGACCATCAATCACTCACCCTCACAGACTTCCACTCACTCACCCACACAGATCCCTACTCACTCACAGAGACCCCCATTCACTCACCCACACAGACCCCTACTCACCCACACAGACCCCCATTCACTCGCCCACACAGACTCCCACTCACCCACACAGACTCCCACTCACCCACACAGACTCCCACTCACTCACCACACAGACCCCCAATCACTCACCCACACAGACCCCACTCACTCACCCACACAGACTCCCACTCACTCACCACACAGACCCCCCACTCACTCACCCACACAGACCCCATTCACTCACCCACACAGATCCCCATTCACTCACCCACACAGACTCCCACTCACTCACCCACACCGACCCCCACTCACTCACCACACAGACCCCCACTCACTCACCCACACAGACTCCCACTCACTCACCCACACAGACCCCCACTCACTCACACAGACCCCCATTCACTCACCACACAGACCCCCACTCACTCACCCACACAGACTCCCACTCACTCACCCACACAGACTCCCACTCACTCACCCACACAGACCCCCACTCACTCACCACACAGACCTCCATTCACTCACCCACACAGACCCCACTCACTCACCCACACAGACTCCCACTCACTCACCACACAGACCCCCACTCACTCACCCACACAGACCCCATTCACTCACCCACACAGATCTCCATTCACTCACCCACACAGACTCCCACTCACTCACCCACACAGACCCCCACTCACCACACAGACCCCCACTCACTCACCCACACAGACTTCCACTCACTCACCCACACAGACCCCCACTCACTCACACAGACCCCCATTCACTCACCACACAGACCCCCACTCACTCACCCACACAGACTCCCACTCACTCATCCACACAGACCCCACTCACTCACCCACACAGACTCCCACTCACCACACAGACCCCCACTCACTCACCCATACAGACCCCACTCACTCACCAACATAGACCCCACTCACTCACCACACAGACCCCCACTCACTCATCCACACAGACCCCCACTCACTCACCACACAGACCCCCACTCACTCACCCACACAGACCCCCACTCACCACACAGACCCCCAATCACTCACCCACACAGACTTCCACTCACTCACCCACACAGATCCCTACTCACCCACAGAGACCCCCATTCACTCACCCACACAGACCCCTACTCACCCACACAGACCCCCATTCACTCGCCCACACAGACTCCCACTCACCCACACAGACCCCACTCACTCACCCACACAGACTCCCACTCACTCACCCACACTGACACCCACTCACTCACCACACAGACCCCCATTCACTCACCCACAGAGACCCCCACTCACTCACCCACACAGACCCCCATTCACTTACCCACACAGACCTCCACTCACCCACACAGTCCCCCATTCACTCACCCACACACACCCCCACTCACTCACCCACACAGACCCCCATTCACTCACCCACACAGACCCCCACTCACTCACCCACACAGACCCCCACTCACTCACCACACAGACCCCCATTCACTCACCCACACAGACCCCCATTCACTCACCCATACAGACCCCCAGTCACCTACACAGACCCCCATTCACTCACCCTGACAGACCCCCATTCACTCACCTATACAGACTCCCACTCACCCACACAGACCCCCATTCACTCACCCACACAGACTCCCACTCACTCACCCACACAGACCCCCACTCACTCACCCACACAGAGCCCCACTCACTCACCACACAGAGCCCCACTCACTCACCACACAGACCCCCATTGACTCACCCACACAGACCCCACTCACTCACCCACACAGACTCCCACTCACTCACCCACACAGACCCCCACTCACTCACCCACACAGACCCCCACTCACTCACCTACACAGACTCCCACTCACTCACCCATACAGACCCCTACTCACCCACACAGACCCCCATTCACTCACCCACACAGACCCCCATTCACTCACCTAGACAGACTCCCACTCACTCACCACACAGACCCCCATTGACTCACCCACACAGACCCCACTCACTCACCCACACAGACTCCCACTCACTCACCCACACAGACCCCCACTCACTCACCCACACAGACCCCCATTCACTCACCACACAGACCCCCACTCACTCACCCACACAGACTCCCACTCACTCATCCACACAGACCCCCACTCACTCACCCACACAGACCCCCACTCACTCACCACACAGACCCCCACTCACTCACCCACATAGACCCCACTCACTCACCACACAGACCCCCACTCACTCACCCACACAGACCCCCACTCACTTACCACACAGACCCCCACTCACCCACACAGACCCCCACTCACCACACAGACCCCCAATCACTCACCCACACAGACTTCCACTCACTCACCCACACAGATCCCTACTCGCCCACAGAGACCCCCATTCACTCACCCACACAGACCCCTACTCACCCACACAGACCCCCATTCACTCACCCACACAGACTCCCACTCACCCACACAGACCCCACTCACTCACCCACACAGACTCCCACTCACTCACCCACACTGACCCCCACTCACTCACCACACAGACCCCCATTCACTCATCCACACAGACCCCCACTCACTCACCCACACAGACCCCCATTCACTTACCCACACAGACCCCCACTCACCCACACAGACCCCCATTCACTCACCCACACACACCCCCACTCACTCACCCACACAGACCCCCATTCACTCACCCACACAGACCCCCACTCACCCACACAGACCCCCATTCACTCACCCACACAGACCCCCATTCACTCACCCATACAGACCCCCACTCACCTACACAGACCCCCATTCACTCACCCTCACAGACCCCCATTCACTCACCTATACAGACTCCCACTCACCCACACAGACCCCCACTCACTCACCCACACAGAGCCCCACTCACTCACCACACAGAGCCCCACTCACTCACCACACAAACCCCCATTGACTCACCCACACAGACCCCCACTCACCCACACAGACCCCCATTCACTCACCCACACACCCCCACTCACTCACCCACACAGACCCCCATTCACTCACCCACACAGACCCCCACTCACTCACCCACACAGACCCCCACTCACTCACTCACCACACAGACCCCCATTCACTCACCCATACAGACCCCCACTCACCCACACAGATCCCCATTCACTCACCCTCACAGACTCCCATTCACTCACCTCAACCGACTCCCACTCACCCACACAGACCCCCATTCACTCACCCACACAGACTCCCACTCAATCACCCACACAGACCCCCACCCACTCACCCACACAGAGCCCCACTCACTCACCACACAGAGCCCCACTCACTCACCACACAGACCCCCATTGACTCACCCACACAGACCCCCATTCACTCACCCACACAGACTCTCACTCACTCACCCACACAGACCCCCACTCACTCACCACACAGACCCCCATTCACTCACCCACACAGACTCCCACTCACTCACCCACACAGACCCCCACTCACCCACACAGACCCCCCACTCACTCACCCACACAGAGCCCCACTCACTCACCACACAAAGCCCCATTCACTCACCCACACAGACCCCCACTCACTCACCACACAGACCCCCATTCACTCACCCACACAGACTCCCACTCACTCACCCACACAGACCCCCATTCACTCACCCACACAGACTCCCACTCACTCACCCACACAGAACCCCACTCACTCACCCACACAGAGCCCCACTCACTCACCACACAGAGCCCCATTGACTCACCCACACAGACCCCCATTCACTCACCCACACAGACTCCCACTCACTCACCCACACAGACCCCTTTCACTCACCCACATAGACTCCCACTCACTCACCCACACAGACCCCCACTCACTCACACAGACCCCCCCCACTCACCCACACAGACCCCCCCCCCCCACTCACTCGTGTACCGAGATGACGCTGATACGAATGCTGTTGTTGGTGCTGTTGTAATGATGATGCCGCTGCTGCTGATGATGTTGCTGAAGGTGATGTTGCTGATAATGATGTTGCTGATGGTGATGTTGCTGATGGTGATAATGATAACGATGTTGCTGATGGTGATGTTGCTGCTGCTGCTGCTGATGATGCTGCTGCTGATGGTGATGGAACCCCCCACACTCACCGGCTCGTTTCTCCGTACGCGCATACACTCCGACTGCAACCAGCGACGCCCCGACAACCTGGACTCACCCAGATTCACCTGGTGAGCGACCCACTCACCGACACTCACACCCAGTGTTGATATTGTTGGCGGCGGCGGTGATGCTGACGTTCGTGTTGATGTTGTTGTTGATGGTGTTAGTGATATTGCTGTTGATGTTTGCTGGTGATGGGGGGAGGAGCTTTGAGCAAGATGAGGAATTCACCCTCAGGGTTGGGGCGAGACGAGACAAGGAGAGAATGCGAGCTGCCGCTTACTCACGCGTGGACTCATGGACACACCAATGATCCCCCGTGTAGCCTTAACAGGCTGTTGGGGCAAGTGGCCTTAGCGAGCACTTACGAAGGCCGACACGGCACACGAGGGGGTGGGTGGCCAGCACACCACGCTCGACCGCCTTTGTCTCCCCGGTGGCGATGTTTTTACATACCAGGCCAGTTACTTGTTTGAGGCTGAGTCGACATAGGGGAGGCCCAGTACAGGTTCAGATAACCATCACTGGCGTTGGCCGTGAACGGGAATCCAACCCGGGTCGCCGGGTTCGTAGCGCAGCGTGCTGACCGCTACACTACCGCCCACCACAACTCAGGTACACACAGGTACTCACACACATGTGCACAGGTGTGTGCTCAAGTGTGTCTACTCAGATGAGTGTATTTAGGTATGCATGTGTACAAGCGTGTGCACAGGTGAGTGGGCATATGTACAGGTGAGTGTACAGGTGTGGGTGTACAGGGTACGGGGAGAGGTGGTGTAGCGGTTAGCGCTACGCTGCGCTACAAACCTGGCGAGCAGAGTTCGTTCCCGCTCACGGCCAACACCAGTGACGATTATTTGAACCAGTCGTGGGCCTCTCCTAGGTCGACTCAGCCTCAAATGAGTACCTGGTGGAGTGTGTAAACATCGCCACTGGGGAGACAAAGGTGGTGTTGTCCACCCACCCCCTCGTGTGCCGTGACCGGCCTTTATAGATGCTCGCTGACAGCACTTGCCCCAAAAGTCTCGTGAGGCTATACAGAGGGGGGGGAATCTTTGTCAGTGTTTGTGTACCCAGGCAACCCGTCCTCACCCAGAAGACGAGGTTGAAGAAGAAGAGAGTCCATTTCACGCAGCATCTCACGTCCACACCCGGGTCGCAGCCCATGCCGGAAGGGAGGGGGGGTCAAGAGGGGCAGCAGCAGGAGCGGGCAGCTGAGGGCAGCAGCTGGGGAGGAGGCAGTGCGGCTGAGGACCACGAGGGGCGAAGGGCAGCGGAGGGCAGCGGAGGGGGAAGCGGCACGTGGAAGGAGTCCCACTGTGGCGGTTTGAGGGTGCGGAGCAGGAATGTGGAATGGCAACCCAGCACACGGGGGGCAAGGCGGGGTCCCCCGGGGGAGGGGGCGCGAGGGGCGGGGCTGGCCGGTGGGAGACTGAGGAATCGATGGAGTTCGTTGAAAATTCACCATGTAACATGATTTTTGTTCCTGGGTAGTAAGTGTTAAAGTACAAAAAATGGCTATTATTCCCCATAAACTTGGCTTTTGTTACCAGGACTTTGTGAAGGAATGACACAAATGCACACGTTTTCTCATTGAAAATAGGTAAATTTCAAATATCTCTGTCCAGCTCACAAAAGAAAAGTTTGTGGGGAATAATAGCCATTTTCTGTACTTTTGAGGCATAAGCAATTAGAAACTAACACTTACTACCCAGGATTTTTTTTGTATATATCGTGAAATCTGAGCCATGGACCGTGGTGAACGCGGAGACGCGGGGTGGTGATGCGAGCGAGATTCTGTTGGTCGTGGATTGTGCGGCGTTGGGTCCCAACCAGGAGCCCGTGGGGCAAGCTCGACAGCATCATCGGGTCAAGCGAGCCAGACTCCTGCTGATGAGACGCTGAAATGTCGAAACCGGTCCGGAGTGTCGCTTGCGTTGAATCAACGCCACTGAAATGGAGCAATCCCCCCCCCCCCCCCCCCCCCCGAAGGCCGTGCTGTCTTAACGGGGCGTGTGGAACGTGTTCACTTGTCAGCTGAGCTGGCAAGGGTCAGGACGGTCTGCCCACCGCCGCCTCTACACCAGAAGACCCTCCTCGTCTGGGGCCATTCTGTGTGAATGGTGACGACCACACCGCAGCATTAGCCAGGGTGGCCGCTGGGATTCGAAGCGTGAACCTCTGTAAAAGTGGCGTCACCATCCCCCCACCGCCTTGCCTCCTCCCCCACCACCAGGAACCGGGCCTCCCCCCCCCCACCACCACCAGGAACCCGGGCCTCCCCCAATACCCGGGCCCCCACTCTCGAGTCCAACAGCAACCTCGATGACTCGGCAGGCAGCCAGGCACAGATGAACCCAGGACTCTCGGTCTCTCTCTCGGTTTAACCAGCATTCTGTCTCTTAGCTTGATCAACACTCCGTTTCTCTCTCGGTCTCTTGGGCCGGTCACTCCTGCACAGTGGCCACTCACGCAGAGACTTCAGCTTTGAGCGCACGCACCTGCGATGCATTTATTTATATATTTACAGGACGAGCACGTGTGCCAGCATGTAAAGGTGTGTGTACAAGTGTGAATACGGGTGTGGGAACAAGTTTGTTCCTATGAACGTCCAGGTGCGTTCCTGCCATGGCCGGGTATGTGCCAGAGAGTGCTCTCAGATGTGTGTGTGTGTGCGAGTGTGTGCGTGATGGGGCAGTTGTGGATAGTGTGGAGAGTTTCCATACCTGGGCAGTGTGCTCATGACCGGCTCCGGTCTGACAGCAGATGTCTCACACCGAATCAGTCGAGCGGCATTATCTTTTAATCGGTTGCGTAATGCTGTGTGGAAGCTACCTGGTCTCTCGCTGCACTTGAAGCTTCAGGTCTTCTCGGCCAGTTATGCCCTCCCTTCTCTACGCTTGCGAAAAGTGGACCCCCCTAATGGAACATCTTCGTCAGTAAGAAACACTTAGGCTGGCCTGCCTACAATCCATCCTGGGTTTAACCAGGCTGGATTGTGTGCGGAGCTCACAAATCCTTGAAAGACCTGGACAAAGTCTCAACGGTGAGCTCCTCCGGCCAGGCAAGGCTGCGTTGGCTGGATCATGTAGCCCGCATGCCCAGCCACCGCATGGCCTAAACAGCTTTTATTCGGGCGGATAGAGGGCTAAAAGGGCGTGGCACGGGCTAGAGAAGAGATGGAGTGATGTGGTACAGGAGGATTTGGAGCTGAGTGGACTTGCCGATGACTGGTACCAGCGGTGTCAAGATCGGCCTCTGTGGAGGAGGCTCGTGAAGGACGCTACTGGGCAGTTGGAGGCAGTCGCCCTCCAACAACGGAGGGCGGAGGAGCGACGCTCACAACAACGAGCGGAGCGCCGGGTGGCTAAAGTACAGCAAGTTGGCACAGTAGGGGGCACAGGTGGTACAGCAGCCAGTCGTCTCAAGTCAGTCAAACCATGGCACCTCGGTCTGTCCTGTGACCTGCCAGCATGCGTTCGACACTTCACGTGGCCTCAACGTGCACGTAGCCTGGAACAAGCGCCGTGGTGACGTCACCGCCACTTAGTGGCGAATGGCGGTGGTTGTTGTTGTGTTCCCAGATGGCGTGCGTGCCCGCCTAGGGGTGTGAATCACTGTGTGAGTGTGAATCACTGTGTGCGTGTGTGTTCTAAAGTGCGTGTGTTCTCAGGTGCGAGTGTATTGTGATGTGTGTTACTGTGTGTACGTGTGCGGGTCCCAGTTGAGTGTGTGAGTGAGTTATAAGATGCGTTATTCACATGTGAGCGAGTCCCTGGAAAGTGTGTTCTTATGTTTGTTACTAAGTGTAGGTGTGCCAGTTCCAGGTGAGTCTGAGTGGGTCTGAGTCCCTGATGAGTCGGGTGAGTGACTCCCTGGTGAGTCAGGTGAGCGAGTGAGTCCCTGGTGAGTCAGGTGAGCGAGTTCCTGGTGAGTCAGGTGAGTGAGCCAGCCTCTGGTGAGTCAGGTTGAGTAGGCGTGTCTCTGGTCGAGTCAGGTGAGTGAGCGAGCGAGTCCCTGGTGAGTCAGGTGAATGAGTGAGTTTCTGACGAGTCAAGTGAGCAAGTGTGAGTCCCTGGTGAGTCAGGTGAGTGATCGAGTTCCTGGTGAGTCAGGTGAGTTAGCGAGTCCCAGTTGAGTCAGGTGAGCGAGCGAGTGCCTGGTGGGTGAGGTGAGCGAGTCTCAGGTGCGCAGGCCGCGGACGAGGTGCTCCAGGAGGCCGGTGAGGGAGGGTGTGGGGGGCCCTGGCGGTGAGCGCAGCCCCACGGTGAGGCTGTACGCCGCCAGGAACACCGAGCGCACCTCCTCCAGCCGCACCTGGCGCGGTGACGGGCCCGGTAGCCTCCACATCGATACGGAAGGGGGGGGGGGGGGTTACTCGTGGTGAGACGCTGGGCGGTGATGCCGTGTGTCTTCACGGTTTGACAATCGGCGGACCGCCCCGGCGGACGCCGCCGTCGTATTAAATGCCAAGCGCTATCGAGCGTTGTCCGCCTCGCTCGCTCGTGGCGGGCGGTAAAGAGCCCCATGGTGCCATTCGCAAGAGCAGGCCGTGGTGTGCCGGCGTCAATGTGCAAATTTGCCAAATTTGGAACGGCAATCACGGGGAGACACGGGGAGACAGTGAGTGAGCGCGAGTGTGTGAATGAGTGTACGTCAGTGAGTAACACTCACTCAAAGTGATCTCCTGCTCAAATGCGCATTGAGGCATTGTTACTCATGTCTTCTCTACAGCAGTCAGTGGAGGAAATTCCACATTCATATGGTGGGGGCGAGTCTGTGCGTGAGTAGGACATCCTCTGTTGATTTCCCACGCAAGGTAGTGCTTGTCTTTATCGAGCTCGGAGGGAGGGCTCATGGGCCAAGCTGACCCCCAACCAGGATGTGAACTCACGACTTCCCGATTGCGAGCCATCCCGCTCTATGGCTGGGCATCCCCGGCTGGTGAGTGAGTGTGAATGCGAGTGAGTGTGGATGCGCGTGAGTGTGGATGCGCGTGAGTGTGGACGCGCGTGAGTGTGAACGTGAGTGAGCGTGAATGCGAGTGGATGTGAATGCGAGCGAGTGTAAATGCAAGTGAGTGTAAATACGAGCAAGTGAGTGTGAAAACGAGCAAGTGAGTAGTAACGCGAGAGAATGTGAATGTGAGCAAGTGAGTGTGAATGCGAGCCAGTGTGAATGCGAGTGAGTGTGAACGCGAGCGAGTGTGAATAGGAGTGTCAATGCGAGTAAGTGTGAATGCGAGCCAGTGTGAATGCGAGTGTGAACGTGAGCGAGTGTGAACGCGAGGGAGTGTGAACACGAGCGAGTGTGAACGTGAGCGAGTGTGAACGCGAGCGAGTGTGAACGCGAGCGAGTGTGAACGCGAGCGAGTGTGAACGCGAGCGAATGTGAACGCAAGGGAGTGTGAACGCGAGCGAGTGGGTGAGTGTGAACGCAAGCGACTGATTGTGAGTTGCTCACTGGTGAGGGAAAGGGGAGTCTCTGCCCATCCCCCGCGCCGGACCCCTCAGGCTGCCGGAGTCTGACACGAGTTGCCAGCTCTCGCTCTCACACGAGGATGCCACAGAGCCCGTCCTGAAACCGCACCACGTCACGCCAACGTCACCACCAACACGACATGTCACACCAATACTGCACTACGTCACACCAACATCACCACCAACACCAACACCGTGTCAGGTCATGCCAACATCACCAAGACCCCGCCACGTTAACGTTACCGTTACAACCACCAACACCGCACTAGGTCACACCAACACCGCACCACGTCACACCAACACTGTGCCAGGTCGCATGTCACGCCAACATCATCACCAACACGACACGTCACACCAACACCACACCGCGTCACACCAACATTGCGCCGACATCACACCAACACTGCACGTCATACCACATCACAACCAACACTGCATCACATCACACAATACCATACCATCACACGACATCACACCTACACTGCATGTCACACCACATCACAACCAACACTGCATCACATCACACAATACCATACCATCACACACTCACTCTGCACTGCACACCTACCCCGCCACCTGCCCCCACCTCTCTCTCGTCGGCACGGCCAATGGGCTGCTTCCTCTCTGCTGCAGTAAGCCGTGCTCTGATTGGTTGGGATGAGCGGCCATCCTGTCTTCTGATTGGTGGAGGAGATGGGACCGCGTCTCTGCACTGAGGAGGCAGGGGGTTAGAGGTTGTCGCTTGTAACATCACTACCACCATCACCGCTACCATCGTCGCTACCGTCATCGCTACCGTCACCGCTACCGTCACCCGCTACCATCACCGCTACCGTCACCATCACCACCACAACCGTCACCACCATCACCACCACAACAATCACCACTACCCCCGTTACCATCACCATCATTACCAGTACTGTTACAACCATCACCACCACAACTGTCAACACTATCACCACCGCAACCGTCACCATCATCACCATCATCACCAATACTACCGTTACCATCACCACAATCACCGCTATCGTCACCATCACCATGAGTAGGCAAATGGGAGAGCGAGTGGGTGGGTGAGTGAGCGGGGGGGTATACCAGTGGTGTGAACGGGCGAGCGGATGAGCGTGCGGGTCGCCGGATTCTGTGAGGACGGACGGAGAATCGTCCAGCAGGGTGGACAAGCTGCCCACGCTGTTCAGGCTGCTGCTGCTCCCTGCCAGACGCCCATCTGCACCACGCGGAGGACAAGCGACAGCAGCCGCGTCACACCTCACACACGCAGCGCACAGACTCACACAGCTACACACACCAAGCCACTCACGGCAACACACACACACAAACAACAGCAGCCGTGTTACACGTCCCACACGCAGAGCACAGGCTCACACAGCTACACACGCACAACAACACAGCCACATTCACATGCAAGCACACACAGCTACACACATGCAACCACACACAGCCACATTCACAAACAGCTACAAACAACAGCAGCAGCGGCCCTCACAGACAGCAAGATGCAACCCACAGAAAGAACGCCGAGACTTGATAGGTGGACATGGCACACGCAGGTGGATGGAACAGGTGGACAAAACAGGCGGACACGGTGGGGACACGGTGGGGACACGGTGGGACACGGTGGGGACACGGTGGGACACGGTGGGACACGGGGGGGACACGGTGGGGACACGGTGGGGACACGGTGGGGACACGGTGGGACACGGTGGGGACACGGTGGGACACGGTGGGGACACGGTGGGGACACGGTGGGACACGGTGGGGACACGGTGGGGACACGGTGGGGACACGGTGGGACACGGTGGGGACACGGTGGGACACGGTGGGGACACGGTGGGGACACGGTGGGACACGGTGGGGACACGGTGGGGACACGGTGGGACACGGGGGGGACACGGTGGGGACACGGTGGGGACACGGGCTTATACCAAGGGCTCCACCGTCGTCACTGCGTCCCTCCGTTTCCCGTGAGGACTCCCGCTTTCTCCTATGCACACACAGACAGCACGCGTGTTCTAACAAGACAAAAATCCTCCGTGTAGCCTTAACAGACTGTTGGGGCAAGTGCTGTTAGCGAGCACCTATGAAGGCCGGCATGGCACACAAGGGGGTAGGTGGCCAGCACCATGCCCGGCCGTCCCCCCAGTGGTGATGTTTACACACCACATGAGGTACTCATTTGAGGCCGAGTCGACCTAGGGAGAGGCCCAGGATCGGTTAAAATAATAGTCACTGATATTGTGCCATTAGCGTTCTCCACAAAATATAATTTCCCATAACGGGAATTGGACCCGGGTGCAACTGGGTGAAAACCAGGAATCCTCACGACTGGACCATACAGGAAGACGAACACACAGCAGACAAGTCAGGATAACTGTGAAACCTGACCTGACTTTGTAATCAGGTGTCATGGGATGAACACGAACATAAAATCTAATTTGAACTTAATATTAACCATTACAAATAACATTTAAATTGAATCCAAATGTATCTGGGCCAATGATGAATTGATTGAATGATAACATTCCTGCTGCTATGGAACAGGGTTGGGGGGGCGAAGGGAGGAGGGGTGGGGTGTGGAGGAAGGAGTTGGGGGGGGAAGTGGGGTTTGGGGGCACCTACCGCTTTCTCCGCAGAGCTGAGAACTCGTCGCCGGAGATGTGCTTCAAGAAGTTGAAGCAGAAGAAGAAAATCTGAGAGAGAAGGAGGAGATGGTCACGGAGACAGAGGATCGAGTCGAAGACACAATGAGATACAGAGACACGGAAACAATAAAACAAAGAAACATGGAGACATGGGGACCATGTGGCATAGAGCCAAAGACAATTGTGCAGGAATGGGACCAGCTCAACATTGCTGTGAGTAGGGTCACAGGATCACGGGGTCACGGAGTCACAGGGTCACAGTGTTACAGGACTGAGAGGTCGTGTGTCATGTTCCTCTCTGGCCTTGCCCTCACCTCCTCACCCTTAAGGAGCCGGTCCTCGAGCATGTGCCTGTGGGAACACCACACGGAGACATGAACACACGGCCTCGCGATTCCACCATGCCACAACCGCACCGCGCCTTCACCAAACGTCCACTGCATGTCCACCACAGGCTCACTACACACTCAGTACGCACTGTGCAGTGGTGGCACTGGTGCCTCGCAGCGAGAAGTTCCTGGGTTTGATTCCCGACCCGAGCCCCTGTCCAAGTGGAGTTTGTTCGTTCTCTACGTGTGTGCGGTTTTATTGTTCTCAGGGGCAAGGGGAGGGGGGCAGGGGGGTAAAAGGTTACGGGCGGGAGGTTAAAGGTCACTGCACCCGAAGAGGAACCAGTCGTAGGCGATGGTGAGGTAGAGGATTTCCTCGGGCCCCAGGGATGCGTGGACCAGTCCGTCCTACACGTACAAAGACAAAGATATCCCTTAGTCTTAACAGACTATATATATAAAAAAAAAACTTTAACAGACTGTTGCGGCAAGCGCTGTTAGCAAGCACCTATTAAGGCTGGCAAGAAACGAGGTGGGCGACCAGAACCACGCCCAGCCACCTTTGTCTCCCTGGTGGCGATGTTTACATACCACACCAGTTACATATTTGTGGCCGAGTAGACTTTGGGGAGGCCCAGGACCGGTTCAGGTAATCATCACTGGTGTTGGTGGCCGTGAGCAGGAACTCGGGTCGCCGGGTTCGTAGCGCAGCACGCTAACCGCTACCCTACCACTCCCCACAGACACGCACACTGTCACACGTGCGTGTGCACGCACGCACACACAGATGCACACACTCGCTCACGTGTTGTGTGGTGATACAGGAACTGGGCGAGAGCTCAGAATGAAACCGTGGAGAAGCGAACCCGAGAACTTCCATCCTCAGACCCACGCAGGTCTCAACCATTGCATGGGGATATGCGGAGACATGCAGAGACATAAGGAGACACACGGAAACATGCGGAGAAGTGCGGAGACACAGGTACTCACGGCCCACAGGGAGAGTCTCAGGAGGGAGATGAAGAGCGGTGTGCGGTCCCAGCCCGAGATGCAGTGAACCAGGAGTCCACTCTCGTCTGCACAAGGACACACGCACCAGTCTCCTGTCCACACGTCTCCCGGCACCTCCCTGTGTGTCTCCCCGTGTCTTCCTGTCCCTCGATCATCTCTCCCATCTCATTCTTCTCCAACGCGTCTCTCGGAGTCTCCCGTCGCTTCAGTCTTTCCTGCTTCACACGCAATGCACCTGAAACCATGGGCCTGCCACTCGGTACCATCCCTGGCACGTACCGAACCGCCCAACCCACACCGCCCTGCCTGGTCCTTCCAGTACATCGTACTGCCCTGTACTTCCTTGCCCAACTCCTGTCCCTGTACTGCCCTGCCCTGTGCTGGCCTGTCGCTCACCGTCCAGGTTGATGATGTGCAGCAGGAGGCGCAGGTAGTTTTGAGTCTGCTCCATCAGGTCCCATGACTGTGGGTACAACGAGGAGGGCGGAACGTTACCTACAAATTACCGGGAGGTGCACGTACATGCACGTGTGTGTGTACTGGGGTCTCAGAGTGCATCTAGCCTGGTGGAAAAACGGTGGTGATCTCTCTGCCATTTGGTGGCGAGTGGCGGCTGTTGATGTATGTGTGTGCTAGGAGCAGGGAGACAAAGGCGGCCACGCCACCCACTCATACGGTGCCGCTGGCCTCTATAGGTGCTCGCGAACAGCACTGGTCCCATTAGCCTGTGTAGGCTACATGGGGGATCGTTGTTGTTTTCATCCGTGCGTGCGGCACTCACCGACTGGCCACGCGTAAACGTGCAAACCGCACGGCGGTCTCAGTCGCAGCGTAGTACAATGCCCCCACATTTCTCAGTTGAGAGGTACAGGCGCAGACTCTGCAATTGCTCGCCAATGTCACTGCTGGCGGAAGGGGCCTTCGCTAGAGGGGGGCTCTAGAGAGGGTAAATGGCCTACTCTTTCACGCTGGGCCAGAGGTTTAGGAAGAGGCGGGGCGTAACCACACTTTACCCCACCAAACGCGACCCGTTGATGGACTGGCACCCATTTACACTGGGGCTGGGCGGACAGGGGAGGGGGAGGCGAGATGTGAGAAACTTGCACCATGGTTTGAACTGCCGCACCAGGAGATGAAGCGAAATCGGCGACCTCTGGATGGCGAGTCCGAGGGTGGTGGCCACTGTGGTACCACCTCCCCCATCGCGTCTCAGTTAAAAATCATAGCACGTCGTGTGTACTGCTCTGGACAATGCCGTGTGGAAAATCGGTTACTGGTTATGAAACCCTACTCCAAAGCGCGTGTGAGATTACACACGTGAGAGTTTGTGTGCATGTGTGTGTGTGTGTGCATTTGTGTGCACACGTGTGTGTGCGAGTTTGTGTGAATTTGTGTGTGCGTGTGTGTGCATGTGTGATTGCACGTGTTTTTGCGTGTGAGGGGGAGAGCGGTAGTGTAGCGGTTAGCTCGCAGCACTACGAACCTGGCGACCCGAGTTCGATTTCCGCTCACGGCCAACATCAGTGACAATTATCTGAACCAGTCCTGGGTCTCCCCTAGGTCGACTCAGCCTCAAATAAGTAAACATTGCCACGAGGGAGACAAAGGCGGCCGGGCGTGCTGTTGGCAACCCACTCCCTCGTGTGCCGTTCATAGGTGCTCGCTAAAAGCACTTACCCCAACAGTCTGTTAAGGCTATATGGGGGATCTTTGTTTGTGTGTGTGCGTACTTGCCCTGTATCCACCCCAGTTGATGGGCAGCCCCTCCCTGAGCTCCTCGGGGACGCTGAGCGGAGCGTCCACATAGTCCTGCCTCAAGAACCACGCACGCGCACACACACACAAACGGACGTACGCACACACAAAGACACAAATGCGCACATGCACGCACACACATACCCGTGCACATGCACACCCGCACCCCCACGCACGCAAACACGCGCACGCACAGACTGAAAGCGTTAATAAAAAATAGACACTCGTGACCCCGTCTCGTCCCAATCACTACCCCCGCAGTTTAGGCCGAGCGAACCGCAGTGCGGGACGGCACCCGCAGTCCATACCTGACTCCAGTCGAACACGAGTCCCTCGCCCGAGTAATCCCGCTCTCGGTAGGCCTTGAAGAACTCGCAGCCTACAAGACGCAAACACCAGGCCACAGTCAGCCCACTGCCGTAAGGAGGCCCCCCCCTCCCCCCAACCCGCCGCCACCTCTCACGATCCCGCGACGCGACAATCCGCACGGCTGCTGCATCACGAAGAGGCCACCGCCTCGTCGTTCCGTCTCCACTGCGGATGCACCATCCAGCGCGCTTTCTCCTTCGGCTGCCATTTCGTCCTTAAGTCTCGACCACCGGCCGCGGTCCCTTCTGGCTGTGACGCATCCTGCCCAATGCCTATATGGCCTAAGCGAGGCCTCTGCTTCGTGTGTGTTCTCTCAGCTGCGTGTTCCTCTCTCTGCCTCTTGCTGCGATTCTGAGCGTGCGCTTTTCCGTTGCTTCTTTGCGCATTTTTCAGCTTTTGTTCCACACGCACGTAAATCTAAATAAATCAGCTCAAGCCTCCCATACGTCGTGTGACTTCTGTGTGGCCTTGACATGGCCCTGCAACTCTTGACCTAACCTGGTAATCCTTGACCTGGCCATCACCTTCACCGAATACTGTGGCCCTTGACCTGGTCATGTGACCCTGGACCTGACCCTCGATTTGGCAGTGACCCAACCCTGTGACCCTTGAACTGCCACGGTGACCCATGACTTTACTACTGAGGCCGTACCGGGGTAGGGCAGGGATAGAAGGGTGAAGTCGGCGTAACGCTGAGCCTTGTCCACCTTCTCCGACGATGTGACGCTGCGGAACACCACACACCGTCACCATCGTCACACCTCATCGACATCACACACTGTAACCATCGTCACACCTAGTCACACGTGGTTGCTATGGGTGAGTGTACATTCGCGAGGGTGAGTGTGCGTTGGCGAGGGTGAGTGTGCGATGGCGAGAGTGAGTGCGCGAGGGCGAGCGAGGGGCGACTCACTTCATGCCGAACTTCACCTTCTTGTTCTCCACCATGAGGTCGCAGATGAAGCGCACTCCCAGGTGCTTGAGCAAATTGATGTCATTTCCCCGGATGCGGTTAAACAGCTGGGACTCCCGGCCATTCCTACAAAGACAAAGGTCCCCCGTGAAGTCCTTAACAGACTTTCGGTTGGCAAGGGCTGCGAGCGGGCAGCACCAACGAAGGTCGGCACGGCGCACGAGGGGGTGGTGGGTGGCCAGCACCTGAGCCAGGCTTCGTCGTTGCTCCCTACGCCGCCCCCTCCCCCATCTCCGTCCACCCCTCCCCCTCCGCCGCCGCCGCCGCCGCCACCGCCGTCGTCGATGCCCCCCGTAGAGAAGAGGTAGTTGTAGCTGCTGCGTCCGTAGATCTCGCCCCACCCGGCAAGTGTAGAGGATCGGCAAATGTGCTGTGGACACATGGGTACACGGACACATGGGTACACGGACACATGGGTACACGGACACATGGGTACACGGACACATGGGAACACGGACACATGGGGTACACGGACACATGGGGTACACGGACACATGGGGTACACGGACACATGGGTACACGGACACAGGGGTACACGGACACAGGGGTACACGGACACATGGGTACACGGACACATGGGTACACGGACACATGGGTACACGGACACATGGGTACACGGACACATGGGTACACGGACACATGGGAACACGGACACAGGGGAACACGGACACAGGGGTACCCTGACGCAAGGGTACAAAGATAGAGACACACGTTTTTTTTCCAACTTCATCTATCCTATCTTCCGGCATCAACCTCACTGTGTTCATCTCACAAGCCTCAGCGTGTTGATCACCGCCCTCGCCTCACTGCCGCGACCTTACTGTTTCGGCTTCACCGCTCCACCCTCACCACGGCGATATCACCGCCCCAGTCTCACCCTCACCATGGTGACCTCACCCTCACTACCGATGCCTCAACACCAAAGCCTCACCGCCCAAGCCTCACCTTGCCGCCGTAGAGGATGACAGGGCACACGAAGCGGCCGCGGCACCGCGCCATCTTGCTCTTCGTCACGAGCTCCCGCAGGCGCTGCACCTCCAGCACGCTCTCAAAGCTGCGCAACCACACAACCACACTGCAGCACCACACTACACCACAACCACACTGCAGCACCACACTACATCACAACCACACTGTAGCACCACATTACACAACCACACCAGACTCCACCACAACCTCACTGCAGCACCACACTACACCACAACCACACTGCAGCACCACACTCAACCACAACCACGCTGTAGCACCACACGACCCAACCACACTACACCACAACCACACTACATCACAACCACACTGCAGCACCACACTACACCACAACCACACTGTAGCACCACACTACACCACAACCACACTGCAGCACCACACTACATCACAACCACGCTGTAGCACCAAACGACCCAACCAAACCACACTATACCACAACCACACTACATCACAACCACACTGCAGCACCACACTACATCACAACCACACTGTAGCACCACACTACACAACCACACCACAACCACACTACACCACAACCACACTGTAGCACCACACTATACCACAAACACACTGCAGCACCACACTACATCACAACCACACTGCAGCACCACACTACACAACCACACCACACTACACCACAACCACACTGTAGAACCACACTACACCACAACTACACTGTAGCACCACACTACACCACAACCACAGAACCACACTACACCACAACCACACAACCACACTGCTGCACCACACCACAACCACACAACCGCACAACACCACACATCACCGCGCTGAAGACACAGGGTTTAGGCGATGTAGGCAACAGAGACCCAGGCACAAAGGTAGTCGCAGCACATGTGGTTTACGAGCCAAGTGTTGATGAGATTATGAGACCTCTTTTGCCAGTAACAAGATATAGGAATAGGTTTTACCCTTTTAACTGGCACAAAAATGCTGCCTTGAATAAAGGTGTCAGTTTTTGTGCCAGTTAAAAGGGTAAAACCTATTCCTATATGTTGATGAGATTTTGACTTGAAGAGATGATCGCCCCGTGTTGGGTCACGGCTCACCTCAGGCTGGGCTCTGGAAACCCGGCTCAAGGCCACGCGGTTACCTTAAGCTGGCTCCGAGCGTGGCGCCTAGCCGTGCACTCAGGATTTACGCGGGCCGAGCATGAGCTGAGCCACGGGCAGGCCACAGCCGAGCTGCTCAATGGCCCGTCTTTGGAAGTAACCGAGCGGCTCGAGCCAAAGCTGGGCCTCGTGTTAAGAGGCAGAGCTGGAGCCGAGCCATGGGGAGGAACGCGGCTCTCAGGAACCCAGCCAGCGGACGGGGACGCCGAGAATAGGGTCCCAGGAATTAGGGGAATCGGACCCCGGCAAGGGGGGTGGGGATTAACGCGACCCCGTGACCTGACCAAGACCTCCACACGACCTCGCCCAGGCGCTCACCGCTCGTTGTGGCGCCCGGCGTGCGTCTCGTACTCGAGCAGCGCAACGTGCAGCGGGTAGTGGCCGCACAGCTCGCCGCCTGCATTCTCCAGCCAGGCGCAGACGTAGTCGCGCGAGAACAACTCCAGGCAGCGCACCTGGATCTCGTCGACCTGCACACCGCCACGGCCGCCCAACTCATGCTGACTGCACTGTCTATATTCCCCCCCCGCCCTCCCAGTGTAAATTTTGCCCCAAAGTCAAATTGAGTTATGGTGCTCGTCTACCGTTTACAGCTCAGAGCCGGTGATGGAAATTCCACATTCCTATGGTGGAGATGCGTATATCCAAAGGGCAACCGCTGTTGACTTACCCACAAAGTGGTACTCGTTTTATCAAACCCAGTGGGAGGGATGATTGGCTTTAAACTCGCATTTTTTAAACTGAACGAGGATGTAAGAATTTGGGAAGAGAGACGATGGGAGAGGGAATTCAAAGCAGAACGGTGCGAGTGTAATAAACAGAAAGAGACGTGCACTCACCTGCATGGTGGCGAGCGAGTGAGTGGATGAGTGAGAGTGTTGTTGTGATCTGCAGTGTGGTAGTTGAGTGGGTGAGTGTGTGGGCGAGTTGTTTTGACCTGCAGTGTGGTGGTTGAGTGGGTGAGTGTGTGAGTGCGTAGGCGAGTTGTGCGTGACCTGCAATGTGGTCATTCAACACGTGTTTGGATGAAACTGCGGTGCATTGAGGAAGACCGGCTATGGTAATTGGCTGCACAATATAAGTTCACTGATTGGCTCAGCTGATCATATGAAATACACAGACCAAGACTCGACTGGACCTCCACAGCTTTCCCTTGACCAGAACGAGCCTCCGGCTAAAATAAAATACGGCGACTCGATTTGCTAGAGTGGGGGGTGGAGGGTTTGTTGTTTCTCCGGGTCTCCCCCCCACCCACCACACCCCCCTCAAACATTTCCAAACGGTGAGGTCACGTGTTAAACTCGAAGGGGAGCTCTGGTGGTCAGAGATGCTGAGCCAGGGCTGATAAGATCCAGGGTCCAAAGTGGGGGGGGGGAGGGGTGTCACATTTCAACTGCCCAACCCTTTGATTAAAAATTGGTTCCCCAGTGAGTGGAGTTGAAGATCTCAGGCTGGTCAACAAAGACATAAGAGCCCCCCCCCCACCGTTGACTGCGTAGTAGAGACCATGGACTCGCGTAGAAACTAAAATTCGCGTCAACAGCAACAATCACAGTTCCAACTCCTAACGGGTCACCGCAGTATTCGCTCGCTCTCCCCAACAGAGAGAACCACCAGGAGGTGCGGGGGGAACCACACACAAGTGCAGAGGCAGCCATGCAATGGGCCTGTGCCAAATTCTCTTGTGCTGTCCTGTGGGGAAGGGGGGGGGAACCGGAGTACCTGGAGAAAACCCACACATTCCAGGGGGGAAATTGCTCTATCCTATGCAACTGGACACAGGTAGAGTCCACATTTTCTGTGCTGCCTTCTCTTGCAAAGCCAGGGTTATGCTGCTTCGATGTCCACGGGAAGGAGAACTTCACACCATGTGTGTGATCCACAGACCCTAGACTCCGTACAGCTGGATTACAGGCATGCGCGTGCCATCACCCTCCGGTAAGAGAAGCCCAGAGACTTACACAGAGATCCAAAGACTCCCGTAGAGACCTATAGACGTACATTTATGATTATTATTCTTGCATACTCCAGGAAAGCCTCACTAAGTCTGATGACTGTATTTTTTCCAAAGTGTCCTGCCAAATTTAAGCAGAAGGGGGGCGATGCTTGCCACGTGAAATACCAATTGAGTAATTTGCGTTGAAATCTACTCGCGTGCAGGCGCCAATTTGTATAGTTGAATTATAGGGTCGTGAGAGATGGTGACAACTTCAGAATCATATTTATTTATACTGTTGAAATCCGATGAGCTATAAAGTTATTTTTTCACAGATATCCAGTATGCCTTCATCCAGCAGTGGATAGTGGCCAATTACCATGATACATAGCTAGACTGAGTTGTATGTATGTATGTGTCCTGAACTTCTATCGCACAATACGTAGCCAACCGTGCTAATCGGAGGTTTTGACAAAACTGAGCTCAAGTGAAGTGATTTCATTGTCCCAGCCCGGTCACCAATTGAGCTCCACAGACTCTCAGACTCGGAGAGAGACCCATAGACTAGCACAGACCAGGGTGATTCGTGGAATGCCTTGCTCATCCAAGGAATGTATCATTTCGTGTGAATTTACTATTCTTTGAATGACACAGAGTGACAGAAAGAGGAACACAAGAATTTGAGAACATAATGCAAATCAGAGACATCACATTTTGACTATGAATAAAAGTGAAGTGGGCTTGGGCCTGACACGTCATGGCCAGAGGGGATGATACCTGGTGGCTAAGGCCAACGCAGAGGGAGGCAGATAAAGGAGAAAACGCGTCCGATAGGACGTCCACCGAGGAGACTCCGCGATGGGATCAGTTCGTATGCAGGTGCTAGGGGGGACTGTTGCATCGCATCGACCAGCGGATTGATCATGGCTGATGCCGATGACTGCTGGTCTCGTTATCTCTACTGTGCTGTTAACTGTGGTGTTAACCTCAGATCTTGGTAACTGACACCAGTTTGCTCATCTATGGATTAGGGCCAGCCACGGTGGTAAGATGTTTACTCCCTGGCCTGGTATACAGGAGGTCGTAGGTTAGATCCCGACCGTGACGATACCTGTATATTTGGAATTTGCATGTCTCTCTCTCCGTGGTCGGGTGAATATTTCTCCGGGCCCTCCGGTTTTTTCCTCCACATTTAGAAACATCACGCGTTTAAATTTCGATTTAAAGCTTTCGTGACTGCAAGGATTAATCTTCTTTGGTTCTTTCGGTAAAGTCACGTAGAATGGGAATAAAATAATAAATTTATAAAATAAAATAACACAATATTCTCACGACGTTTCGGCCACAACACAAGCAGCCTTCACCTCATGAAGGCCTTCACCTGATGAAGGCCGATTGTGTTGTGGCGGAAACGTCGTGAGAATATTATTGGTTATTTTATTTTATCAATTTATTATTTTATTATCATTCTACATGACTTTACCGAAAGAACCAAAGAAGATCACGCGTTTAGTCTTTGGCTGATCAGCCACTGCGTTGAGCTATCATTTGTGGCCAGGTCTCTTTTTTAAAAAAGAGCTTTTTAGGCCAGTGGGCCCTACCTGGCAAAATACATTTTTTTTATTGTTTTTTCACTTCTCCCAGTAACACCACTACCTGTCATACTGCCCTCCTTGTTAAATGTTAAAATCCTGCATAACCGTAACCAAACAGCAGCCACGATCTATCCACTGCTGGATGAAGGCCTCTCTCCAAGTTGTCACCATCTCTCACGGTCGTGCGATGCAGCAATGCAAACTGGCGCCTGCGTTGGAAGTTTTTCTCTCCTTTGACTGCCATCCGTCGTGAGTCTCGACCACCACCCGTCGCCCCGTCCAGCCTTGACGAGCGCTGCCCCAAGGCCCACAACTTGCATGGTTCGTCGAGTGGCGTAGCGTCTCCAATCGGTGTTCATCTTTCTATATCTCGGGGTTCGATCCAAGCGTCCAAACTTTCCACCGTGCCCTTTTTTTGGCGCACTTCTTAGCTTCGTTCCATTTTCTTTTGCTAATAACCACGTTTCTAATCCATGGGTATGTGTTGCGTTTCACGAGAGATTTCGTAACGATTTCATCGTAAATCAAGTCGCCGACGCGTGTTAAATAACCAAAACACATGACACGTGACGCGGGGTCGAATAATGGACACGTGGATGATAAATATTGGTTAATGTACGGTACAGACACCCGCGTGGTGAAGTATGGTCAAAAAGTAGTAACGGTTCCCGTGAGCTACACTCATCGACTCCTCCCTCCTAGCCGCTGAAGTGAGGGCTCCGTTTAATGGACAGCAACCGAAGTTAGACGAACCAGACGCCAAACCCCGTCGTGACACAACGACAGAGTTGGGGGGGCCAGAGGCGTTCGATCCAGCAGTGGACTGAGACTGGCAGGGCGCGTGGATGGCGCCTGAGCTTGAGTTAACAACAACACGCGCGCGGCACGGCACAGAGGCGCAGTCACACGACCCGCGAGGGACAAAGTCCAGCGTTCAACCCAGGACCACGGCCTCCGAGAGATGGGAGAGAGATTGGTTGGGAGGAGGGGGGGGGGACGACAAACGAGGTTCTGGCGTGCCGAGACAGATTAAACGGCGGACTCGGCTGTCGCGAGAGAGGGTGAAGAGAGAGAGAGACAAAGACTGCCGGGGAGCGGGTCACGCAACTCGCCTTGCACACGCCCTCGCGCGCGCGGTACGTGTTCTTGGAGAAGTAGTCGATGAGGTCTCGCACTTCCTCGTAGCGGCCGCCTCTCGCTTGCTCCCCCATGGCTCACCCAGATCTCCCCCCCCACCCCTGACCCCTCTCACTCCATGGCCGCCTCGCCCCGGCACTCGGATAGCCGCCGCTGCCCGCCACCAGCTCACTTCCGGCCGGCCCAGGAGACGAAGTCGCAGCGGGGGTGGGTGAGCGGGGATCGTTGGTTAGCGGCTATGGTCGGCGAAATGAATGACGGGGCGTGCGCGAGAGGGGGACCGAGTGGAGGAATGAAGGGGGCCCGCAGGAGGCGATGAGAGGAGGCGAGAGGTGGGCGGGGGGTAACAGGGGTCTCGGGGGTCCTACAGGGACCACCGCTGTCGCTGCAGCCTCTCAACGAGGGGGGCACCCCGGAAAGGAAGCGAATCGAGGGGGAGCGAACCCCGCCCACAGCGTGCCGAGACCACGCCCCTGATGACGTCACACAGCAGCCACGCCCTCTAGCGTGGGGGGGGGGGACACGCTCCTGTTGTGCCCACTAAACTTGTTCACGGTAATGTAACACGTTGTAGTGGTTAGTCGTTGTTGTGTTTTCGCGACCAATATCCATAATGGAGGGGGGGGGGGGGTTTGGGTGAGATCGCGTAAATATAAATGTGTTGTGAAACCCGCCACCCACCCGGCACAGCCAATTATTAAGGTTTGTACATTTTGTGGATTTTACTCTCCAACACACCAGTGTGCTGTGCTAGTAACGAATTGCACGTTGTGTTACGTGACAAACCTTGCGAATTGGCTGTCCGGTGGTGGCGGGTTTAACGACATTTATATTTAGGCGATCTAACCCGACAGCCTCTTATGGACGGTACTGTAATTTCAATCTTGATTTGAAGCTTTCGTGACTGCAGGAATCCATACTCTTTGGTTCTTTCGGTAAATTTACATAGGTATAAAATAAAATAAATCATGACGTTTCGGGCGCTACACAAGCGTCCGTCATCAGGTGGGAAAGTTGTAATTGTTCATTTAATTAACTTATTAACGTTTTTCTTGATCCAGCTGGACAGGATTGGACAAAACTTAGCCCACTTTTCACTCAGGCTGGATAGCACAGGCTAATTGTTATTAACATTTAAACGAGCAATGCAATGTTTAAAAATCACAATTACTAGACAAACAGCATATATACTATTTACAAATAATTATTATTTTATAACTGTAAAACTTAATTTACAATGTGCGATTGTGCAATTAATAAAACAAGAAACTCGACACATTCATCAATAAGTGTGGCCTAAAAAATGTATATCGAAGACGTTTCACAGTGGCCATTCGTAGCACAAGCACCGTATTCTAGATTTGAAGCTTTCGTGACTGCAAGGATCCATACTCTTTGGTTCTATTCGGTAAAGTCACGTAGGTAAAAAATAAAACAACAAAAAATCACGACGTTTCGGCCACAACACAAGTGGCCTTCATCAGGTGAAGGGACCAAACTGTCCAGAGGACAGCGTTGGAGTGAAGAAAGCCAAGCCCAGGTCGCCTCCTTTAAGCTGAGGGAGTAAACAGAAAAACGCCTTGACAAAGGAATTAGCATAGAATGTACTACTGTGAAAGCTTGGAATTAGCATAAAATGCTGTACTACCGTGAGAGTTTGGGATGCCGCTACTTGAATAAATATACTGTACCATTGAAAATTAGTTTAATGTTTGGTTCGATTTAGAACATCTTTCCAATGATTGATCAATTTGAAACCATCCTCTCGGTTGAAATTGTGTCTGTGTTTGTAAATCTGAATTGCCTCGTGGACAAATCTCTGATAAAAACCCGTGGGTTTGCAGAGAACCTTGGTATCGGAGAAAACTATATCGTGATCACCCACAGCGTTGTAACAGTGATCATCTACGGCAGAAGAATTCATTCTGCCATGTTTCAAATCTGATTTGTGCTCGAGAATTCGGTCAGAGACATGTCGTTTCGTCTCCCTGATATAGCCGTTACCACAGGTGCAGATCAATTTGTAAACCCCGGGGTACTGTAAGTCAGGAATGACGTCCTTCACGGAAGGGATCAGGTCACGGATTTTGTGTACTGTATTGAACCGGACCTGGATCTTGTGTTTGTTTAGAATTTTGGAAATCTTTTTAGTAACGCCTGCTATATATGGTAGTGTGATGGTTTTGATCGAAGTATCAAGTGGCTGTTTCTGTATGGAGGGAGAAACAGCTTGGCGGATGGTACGGTCAGAGTATCCGTTCCTCTTTAGGGCCAGATGTACATGTTTTAATTCACTGGTCAGGTGGTGTTGGTCCGAAATGCAATGAGCCCTGTGGTATAACGTTTTGATGAGAGAATTATTTTGCGTCGGGTGGTGGTGGGAATCAGGTTTCAAGTAGGAATCTGTGTGGGTGGGTTTCCTGTAGACAGAATGTCCCAATGAGCCATCAGGTCTCCACTCAAACAGAACATCCAAGAATGGCAGCTTGCCATCTTTCTCCACTTCCATGGTGAATTTGATAGCGGGGTGTCTGGAATTGATGTGGTCTAGGAAAAGGTTCAAAGCTGGGAGGCCATGTGGCCAAATGACGAAAGTGTCATCTACATATCTCTTCCACAGGGAATGTCTGAGGGTGGAAGTCTGGGTGGCGTCTGATTCAAATTTCTCCATGAAAACATTGGCTATCACTGGTAACAAGGGGGAACCCATGGAGGTACCCTCATTTTGTTTGTAGAAGGAGCCATTCCAAGTAAAGTAGGTATTGGTGAGGCAGTGCCTAACCAGCGCAGGTGTATCGGGGTCTAGTCCATGTTGGACCAAATTTTCAATTATTTCAATGGTATCAGGTACTGGGACCTTGGTGAACAGAGAGACCACAGTACCCCGGGGTTTACAAATTGATCTGCACCTGTGGTGACTGCTATATCGGGGAGACGAAACGACATGTCTCTGTCCGAATTCGCGAGCACAAATCAGATTTGAAACACGGCAGAACGAATTATTCTGCCGTAGCTGATCACTGTTACAACGCTGTGGGTGATCACGATATAGTTTTCTCCGATACCAAGGTTCTCTGCAAACCCACGGGTTTTTTTTATCAGAGATTTGTACACGAGGCAATTCAGATTTACAAACACAGACACAATTTCAACCGAGAGGATGGTTTCAAATTAAGCAATCATTGGAAAGATGTTCTAAATCGAACCAAACATTAAACTAATTTTCAATGGTACAGTATATTTATTCAAGTAGTGGCATCCCAAACTTTCATGGTAGTACAGCATTTTATGCTAATTCCAAGCTTTCACATAGTACATTCTATGCTAATTCCTTTGTCAAAGCGTTTTTCTATTTACCCCCTCACAGCTTAAAGGAGGCGACCTGGGGTTGGCTTTCTTCACTCCAACGCTGTCCTCTGGACAGTTTGGTCCCTTCACCTGATGAAGGCCACTTGTGTTGTGGCCGAAACGTCGTGATTTATTGTTGTTTTATTTTTTGCCTACGTGACTTTACCGAATAGAACCAAAGAGTAAGCACCGTATTGTGTGCATCATGTGCCCTGAATAAGAACCATTGCCTTGCGACACCCATTTTTGATTATTCTATGAAGTCCACACTCCACACAGTGTTATCGACGAACGTGTTGGGGTTGTCCCTATAGGGCCTATAGTGTTACGAAGACAAGATCCTCATTATAGCCTTCACAGACTGTTGGGGCAAGTTACGTTAGCGAGCAACTATGATGACTGGAACGGTACACGAGGGTGGTGGGTGGCCAGCACCACGCCCGATCGTCTTTGTCTCCCAAGTGGCGATGTTCACACATTGTACCAGGTATGCATTTGAGGCCAAGTTGACCTAGGGGAGGCCCAGAACCGGTTCAAATATTCGCCGTTATTGGCCGTGAGGGGGAATCGAACTTGGGCGGGCCGGGGTTTGTAGCGGAGCGCGCTAACTGCTGCGCCACCGCCCCCCACTTTCTACGATAGCAGTGCAGCTGCATGACTTCACGACACACCCACTACGAATGGGGCAAGCCCCCGGCGACGTTCCCCCCTCCAACCCCTTCCCCCGAGAAATTCCTGGACGCTGCCACATGACGTCAAGAAGGTCACAGCTGAGCGAACCTGACATTCAGCGTCTTATCAGCAGCAGCAGTCAGGATCGCTTGAACCAATGGTGGTGAACGGCCAGATTTCTATTCGCAAGGTGTAGTTTTGACAGTCTTATCAGCACGAGCTCGCTTGAAATAATGCTTAGCTGCCAGATGTGTATAGGCAAAGACCCTCTCCGAGTCAAAACCAATAGTGGTTTGCTTGTGGTGAACCAATGCTGCTGAATGTATGCACTCCCAGAAATCCGTGAGGGCTGATTGGATGTGTAAACACTTTGTTTTATATGGCGTGACAAACATGGCCCGATTTCTGTCTGAGATCCTGCTTCCTTTCACGGGCAAGTCCACCTCAGCTGTACTGAAATCACCTCACTTGGTTTCTCTAATCAAAGACATCTGTCTCCAGATAATTTGCTTGTCAGTTTCGATGTAGTCTCTCTGTTCACCAATGTACCTGTACTTGACACCATTGCAATCATTGAAGACTTGGTCCAAGGACTGAATCCAGATGTACCAACTTTGGTAAGGCACTGTCTTTCCAACACATACTTCACCTGGAATAGTACATTCTAAAAACAAAATGAGGGTACCCCCAACGGGTTCTCCCTTTTTGCCAGTGGTAGCGAATGTTTTCATGGAGAAATTTGAGACAGATGCGATCCAGACATCCACCCTACGTCCTTCCTTGTGGAAGAGATACGTAGATGACACGTTCGTCATCTGGCCACATGGCTTGCCAGCACTGAACTAAATTCTCAACCACATCAATTCCATACACCCGTCTATCAAATTCACTATGGAAGTGGAAAAGGATACCATTCCTGAATGTTTTGATCGAGAAGAGACCCGATGGCTCATTGGGACATTTGGTCTACAGGAAAGCTACCCACACGGATGCCTATCTAAAGCCTGACTCCTACCACCATCCAGCCCAGAAGATTCCCATATCAAAACACTACACCATAGGGCCCGTTGCATCTCCGACCAGCACCACCTAGCCAGTGAGTTGGAGCACGTACACCAAGCCCTCAGGATGAACAAATACTCGGACCGTACAATCCGCAAAGCTGTCTCCCCAGTCATGCGGAGACAACCTTCTGAGGATCCAACCAAAACCATCACTTTACCGTACATAGGGGTTACCAAAATTATTTCCAAAATCTTAAACAAACACAAGATCCAGGTTCGTTTTAACACAGTACACAAAATCCGTGATGTAATCCCATCTGTAAAGGATGTGATTCCTGACATGCAATACCCTGGTGTCTACAAACTGAGTTGTGGTTGCGGCAGCAGTTACATTGGGGAAATGAAACGTGTCGGACCGCGTCCGTGAACACATGGCGGATCTGAAACACGGTAGGACCAATACCTCTGCCGTTGTCGATCATTGTTTTAATGCTATGGGCTCACACGAAATTATTTTTCCAAGACGGAGGTACTCTGCAAATCTACCGGCTACCTTCAGAGATTTGTTCATGAAGCCATCCAGATATATCAACACAGACACAACTTCAACGGAGAAGGGTACAAACTGAGCAATCATTGGAAGGACGTTATTAACCAGGTACTGTCTTAACTGTGATGTTTCCATCCTACCTGCCTATGTCAGCTGTTATTTCCGACTCTCTATGCCTCCCTCTTAGATCTCTCATGCTCACCCTCCTTTTCTACAGGTACATGCTAATCTCTCACATTAACATAGCCACTTCCGTGTCCTCGTCTAGGAGGCCGCTTTCCTATCTTACAGTTACATGCCAATTTCTAACATTAACATCACTAGCCCCGGCCACTTCTTTGACCCTTGGGCTACACCCATTTCAAACCTTTTAAAAGTTTGCCTCAGCAGCAGACTATGCTTTCCCACCTGATGACGGATGCTTGTGTTGCGCCCGAAACGTCGTGATCTATTTTAATTTTATACCTACGTGACTTTACCAAAAGAACGAAAGAGTATGTGAAGGAGGCTAATTGTCTGTTTATGAATGTTTCTTATATTCTATACAATAACAGGCAGCTCACCAGCCTGCACACAGCCATAATCACGAGGACAAAGAGGGGCACGAACACAGGGCCAAGGATGCGACGTTTATTCGTGACACGGGGGGGGGGGGACACCTTGAGAACCCGCGGTGATGAGCGTGGGGCAAAGGGGGCGGAGGGGGAGTAGGTGGCGTTGCTCCCGGCTGGCGCCAATCGAGTCAGCGTGTTTTACACAACTCCTCTTTTCCACTGTGGTACGGAGGAACCGATATCGCGGATCCTATCATAGACGGGCGACTATTTGTCAATAATTTCGAACGCAAAGTTAACATTTAAATGCTACCCTCGGCAAAGCCCTCCAATCATCCCCATACAGCTCCACCACACGCGTGCAAAGAAAACCTGACACGGACTCACGTGCGGCATGGGCAATTAACGTGGCCGGGTGGATCGGAGGGCGGTTGTACCCTCGGGGTAGGGGTTAGTGGTTCAGTCTTGGTAAAAAAAAGGACAGATATAGACTCCCACGCAAAGAAAGTTTACAATGTTACAAAAAAACACAAGGGGGTACAAGTATTTGGAAGGGGAACTTGCACACAGTAGTGAGCAGTGACTTGTCTCGGGCCTGGTCACCAATGACTTCACAAGAAACCATCAAATACAATTTGGGAGTTTTCAACTAAATTTGGCAAAATCCAGGCTCTGACAGGTTTGACGGAACACTCATTGCACGGCGTATTGAAAAAAGTTCATCTGAAGTTTGTATTAATAAGTAATCTGTGACATCAACTTCCAGGGTTGTTGTGACACGAGGTGGTGCGCTGCTCGCTGAAGATTTTGAAACGAAGATTTGTCCGTCTCATGGTGATGCAGCAGCGCCGTTGTAACCCAACATGGGAAGGCAGTGGAATAAAAATAACAAACGCTCAATGTACAAAAATTGCCACATCGGGCATGGGACGCAGGCAAACTCAACAACAGGTGGCCTCTGTGTGTCATGAGAGGCCCCCAGGGACACACCAGCAGGAGCAATGGACCCCAACACCTAGACATGCTAGGGGTGTAACAGTTCACCGCCCTGCAATCCGACAAGTCCTCAGGATTCAGATAATACATCTGAATCAACCATAATTAGTTTGTTTACACTATAGTGAATGTACTGGCCTCTTGTGGCTGCAGGGGTCACACAAACCCATTACGTGCAACATACACGCATGTCAAACGTGCGATTCTTTAAAACCGCGAGTCGAGGCGCGCACAGCGAGCTTTAAGGAGCGACATCAAAATTGATGACTGGCGCCCAAAGAGACCCGCGGTGCGTGCCATGGCGGACATGGACATGCTCCCAGCTCGCAGGCAAGGCTTCGTGTTTAAGGCAATGGTGAAGGGCAGCGAGCGGTGAGCAGTGGTGGTTAGTGGTGGGTAGTGGTGAGTAGTGGTGAGTAGTAGTGTTATCGGCGCGCGGTGGGGGAGGAAACGGACGCGGAGGAAGAAGGAGGGGCTCCGCGCAGAGGGCAGATGGGACGATGAGGATCCGTGTGGTGACGGTGACACGTGGGGAAGGTCTGCTAAGTCAACGTCTCCCCCTTGGTCACCTGCGGCGAGACGAAGACACATCAGCGTGGTTATATTTGGCAAAGGTATTTTCCTGTGATCTTCCATGTGGGTGGGGAACGGAGGCATGGCATCTCCCCTCTTTGTATCTCTCCTCACAGTGTCTCTCTCGCGTGTCTTTCTGTCTCATATTTTGCATATCCTCTGTCTCACCCATGTGTCTCCCTTATGTGTCTCCACTTTCTCCATCTCCACTCACTCAGTCTCCCCTCCTTACAGAAAATTATTAAAATATAATAAGACAACCCAAATAGGACAGTGTAATATGAGATAGACCATTAACAAAACAACAAAATCGAGTCTACAAATGACACAAAAAAAACACTCAACCCATGACTTGAGTTGTTACTCTGAATTATCGCGATGTGTGGAACCGTGGGGGGATGCTATGCTTTAAGATGCTGGGGAGGGGCCCGTGTGTGTGTGTGTGTCTCACCGCCCTGCCTCCCCCCACCGCTCTGGTCACCCCCCCACCACTCCCCCTCCTCTTACCCGAGCCTCGATGTACTCCACACGCCGCTCGAGTGACGTCAACTTCTCGTTCAGCACGGCGAGACGGGCACGGCACGACATGTCTGCGCCGCGCACAAGCAGCCGGTGGGAATGACGGTAGCAGTGGTGGCAGCAGCAGAGATGATGCCAGCAGCAGTAGAGACAATATCAAAGGCAAAGTGGGTTAGGATTAGGTATTTTCAAGACACCACAGCAACACCATCATCAGCCATGATCGATCCACTGCTGGATGAAGGCTTCCCCAAGTTGCCACCAACTCTTACGATCCTGCGATGCAACAATCTACCCATCACTTGTTGGCCACGTGTGGATCTCATCGCTCCATCTCGATCGGTGGCCGATCCTCTCGGACGTGCTCCATCCCTCCATAGCACCATCACAGAAACACAGTAACATCATAGCGCCATCACGGAAATATCACAGAACCATCATATCACCATCACACATCACAGTACCATCACAGAAACATCTCAGCCACAGCACCATCACAGAAACATCACAGTACCACCATAGGACCATCACAGAAATATCACAGTGCCATCACAGTCATAGAAACATCACAATGCCATCATAATCATAGAAACAAAGAATATTATCACAGATACATTATAATTGACAGAAAACGCTACATCATCTATTCACAGCTCCATCACACAACATCGATCACAGCACGCCACAGAACCATCGCAGCTGCATCAAACATATCACGGCACCATCAGAGTAACATCACAACACCATAACATAACCATTACAGCACCATCAAATATCACATTAGAGTAACATCACAGCACCATCAAAGATCACATTAGGGTAACATCACAGCACCATCAAAGATCACATTAGAGGAACATCACAACACCATCAAACATCACATTAGGGTAACATCACAACACCATAACAGATCACATTAGGGTAACATCACAACACCATCAAAGATCACATTAGAGTAACATCACAACACCATAACAGATCACATTAGAGTAACATCACAGCACCATCAAAGATCACATTAGAGTAACATCACAGCACCATAACAGATCACATTAGGGTAACATCACAACACCATCAAAGATCACATTAGAGTAACATCACAACACCATAACAGATCACATTATAGTAACATCACAACACCATCAAAGATCACATTAGGGTAACATCACAGCACCATAAAAGATCACATTAGAGTAACATCACAACACCATAACAGATCACATTAGAGTAACATCACAACACCATAACAGATCACATTAGAGTAACATCACAGCACCATAACAGATCACATTAGGGTAACATCACAACACCATAACAGATCACATTAGGGTAACATCACAACACCATAACAGATCACATTAGGGTAACATCACAACACCATCAAAGATCACATTAGAGTAGCATCACAACACCATAACAGATCACATTAGGGTAACATCACAGCACCATAACAGATCACATTAGGGTAACATCACAACACCATAACAGATCACATTAGGGTAACATCACAACACCATAACAGATCACATTAGGGTAACATCACAGCACCATCAAAGATCACATTAGAGTAACATCACAGCATCATAACAGATCACATTAGGGTAACATCACAACACCATAACAGATCACATTAGGGTAACATCACAACACCATAACAGATCACATTAGAGTAACATCACAACACCATCAAAGATCACATTAGAGTAGCATCACAACACCATAACAGATCACATTAGAGTAACATCACAGCGCCATCACCAAAGGGGTAAATCTACCACTACTATAAACACAGAGGGAAGTCGATATCCTACGCCGGATAAATATCGCCGGCCGTGTTGGCGATTCCCATTGGCCAAAAGCAGCATCACGTGCTCTCGCAAGACCAACTGCGACCTTCGTAACGGAGCGCGTGCCTGAGCGCGCTGGGGAATGTAAACGGCGGAGGGTGAGGGAAAGAGGGGGGCGAGGTGGGGGGGGGGGTTGGCACGTCGGGGGCTTCCCGCTTTCTCGCACCGAACGAGTTGAGGAAGTCGGCGATCTTTTTGATGCTGCTGGAGATCACTTCGATGTACTCGCGATTCGCCCAGTCCTGGTGGATCTCGCGCTGCACGGGATCGAACTGGCCCGCCATTGTCGCCCGGGCTCTCAAGCCCCGCCCCGTTTACCACGAGCCCCGCCCCTCGTTACAAACCCCGCCCATCACTACAAGCACCGCCCTTCACTACAAGCCCCCGCCCGCCACTGCAAAGCCCCGCCCCTCGTCCCCACTGCAATCCCTGCTCTTACCTTAACTACTTAAAAAATCGGTAATAAAAACCAGGCTTTTCAACGCACACTTTTCTTTGCATTAAAAAGTAGACAACACATTTGTTTGACCCCGGAATTAATCGAATTTGATGTGCTCAATAAAAGTGGGCAGCTTTCGATGTTTAATTTTCTTTGATGCAAGCTTACACTTTTATTGACCACATCAAATTTGATTAATTCCGGGAGTCATTGTAATTTATTTTATACTTTTGAGTGCAAATAAAAGTGTGTGCATTGAAAAACCTCGGTTTTTATTACCTCACAATACTCTTTGGGTCTTTCGGTATAGTCATGTAGATAGAAAAATAAAATTATATCTACGTGACTTTACCGAAAGACCCAAAGAGCATTAATTCCTGCAGTCACGAAAGCTTTAAGTAAAGATTTACCTCATAATAGTTTATATTCTTTGGGTCTTTCGGTAACCTATCTACGTGACTTCACCGAAAGACCCAAAGAATATGAATTCCAACAATCAAGAAAGCTTAAGTCAAGATTTCATAATAGTTTGTAGTGCAATTGTTACTCTTTCACCGAGGAAGAAGAGGGTAGCACAGCGGCCGCTCAGGCGCCATGACGAGCGGCGATAGAAGCGCTCCTTTCATTGCTTATAGGCTGGGCAGCAACAGCCGCTGTCATTGGACCAGACGTTTGCCCACGTAGGGGGGCGCGACCATTCTTGATTTGAAAAAATTGGGAGGGGGGGGTGGATAAAGTGTACGATCATTATGTATATTCTTTGGGTCTTTCGATGAAGCCACGTAGATAGAAAAATTATAAAAAATATCACGTTTCGATCGCACCACAAGCAATCATCATCAGGTGAAAAAAAATAAAAATATAGCGGAAGAGCTGCTGAAGCGGGATGTTTCTAGGTTTGAGATGGGTTTAGCCCAAGGGTAACGGGGTGGGGCTAGAGATCCGAGAGTTGACACCCCTCCACGACGACGCAGCTGTGGAGGTGGCCATTGTTTTGGGAGAGATTAGCAGGTCAATTTAAGCGAACCACCGCAACGGTGGCTGTGCTTGAGACATCCAGCTCGTTAAAAAAACGAGGGACACTGCCAACTCGAAGACAAGGGGCAACGGTGGCTGTGTTAGTTAGCGTGTATGTAACTCAGAGAGTGGGAAATAACTGCTAACATCGGCAGGTAGGATGGAAACATCACAGCCAGTTATGACTTAAACTGGTTAATAACGTCCTTCCAATGATTGCTCAGTTTGTACCCATCTTCTCGGTTGAAATTGTCTGTGTTCATATATCTGGATGGCTTCATGAACAAATCTTTGTTGCAGAGGACCTTCGTCTTGGAAAAATAAATGTAGCGTGTGCCCACAGCGTTAAAACAATGATCAGCCACGGCTGAGGTATTGGTCCTACTGTGTTCCAGATCTGCCTTATATTCGCGAACACGGTCCGAGACATGTCGCTTAGTTTCCCCAATGTAACTACTGCCGCAGACACAGCTTAGTTTGTAGACACCGGGGTACTGCATGTCAGGGATCACATCCTTCACAGATGAGATCAGATCACAAATTGTATGTACTGTGTTGAATCGAACCTGGATCTTGTGTCTGCTCATGATTTTGGAAAGGTGATGGACATCACCTTGCCATACATAAAAGTTACCAAAAAGATTTCCAAAATCATGATCAAACATTTTATCTGTGAAGGATGTGATCCCTGACATGCAGTTATTTCCGACTCTCTGAATTACATATGTAATGGTGTTATTAGGCGAACGTATACCATCTCCGGACAGTACCCACTACCTACCTCTAGGGGACAGTTAACGGGTTGAGCCAGTACCTGGGGAGTATAGCCAAGAGGCTGATAGTTGAAGGCCAGATCGGATCCTGGAGCAAATGGGCCAGCACTCAGGTAGGGGGCTGTCGGGGAATGATGTCACTCTTCCCGAACCTGGTAGAAGGTTCGGGAAGGGAGGCGTGGCTAGGGCGGAGCAAGCCACAGAGCAGCATAAAAGGCAGGAGCCCGAGAGGGTCTGGGCAGTGCTGCCAGCGAAGACTGACGAACCAGTGGAAGACAGGCCAGCTAGCCAGGACCCTGGGACTCATCTGACCCGCCGTCCTTATCAGCGCCGGGCAGAGTGAGCCAGTGGTACAATCCTGGAAGCCTCGGAGCCCGACCTCCTCATCAGGGCCAGGTCCGAGTGGCCAGTGGTTGAGACCTGCGCCTTGGCTGGGCCAGGTCAAGCTCGCCTCCCCTAGGGCCGTGTAGCCGGAGGACCCCGAGACCTTAGCCAGGAATAAGGCGAGTACAAGAGGGGCTATACCCTTCCAGGCAGCAGGTACAGGGGCCGTTACCCCTGTGTAGCTAAGGACTGTGTTGTGTAATGTTAAGTCCTTTGTAATAAATAAGTGTTGCCTCCAATCATCCGTCTATGCCGTCTTAAAGAACTCACAAAACATACACGCTAAATGCCTCATTAACACAGCCACCGTTGCTCCTTGTCCTTGAGTTGGCGGTGTCCCTCGTTTTTTAACGAGCTGGATGTCTCACAAGCACAGCCATCTTTGCGGTGGTTCGCTTACATTGACATGCTAATCTCTCACAATACAATGGCCACCTCCACAGCTGCGTCGTCGTGGCTGCAAATTCCATCTCTAGCCCCACTCACTTACCCTTGGGCTAAGCCCATCTCAAACCTATATAACATCCTGCTTCAGTAGCTCTCCCGCTATATATATTTTTTACCTGATGACGATTACTCATGTTGCGATCCAAACGTGATATTTTTATTATTTTTCTATCTACGTGGCTTCACCGAAAGACCCAAAGAATATGAATTCCTGCAGTCATGAAAGCTTTAAGTCAAGATCATTATTTAGTAAGATTTAGTTAAAAACACGAATAGGACCATGATGGGCGAGGCCTGGACCGGTTTTAAAATTGAAATCTTGAATTGTCACGCGAGGCGAGGCTGCGTAGGTAATGTCAGCTCGTTAGGCTTCGTAGATCTGAAGATATTAAGCATTAAAGATTCCAAAGAATATAATGACAATGCGGCATGTTCAATAAGTGTGTGAAAAAAGGAGCCATACAGCTCAATGGGCCTTACTTGGTAAAATACAAATAATTTCAGTTTGCTTTTCATACAACTGCTAACCTCAGCAACAATCGGCAAATACGACACTTCCGTTGGCCCGTGTCGTCCCATTTCCATGCATTGAAAGCACACTGCACACACGGATATAAACGGTCTTTATTTCGCAAAATTAACATCATGTATAGTATAGAATAACGCTCATTTTTTACAGCACACACACGCGCGCGCATCATTAGTAATAAACAAAACACGCACAAAGGGAGACCCTGCACCCTCAGCGCGTGAAGATATTTGACTGCATTCCAAGAGTTGAAGCATCCATGAGCCATACAGCCCCCACTGCCAACTCGCCCCCCTCTCCTCCTCCAACGTGCAAAGGATTCAATGCATTCGCCGACTCCTGGGCTGCAAGAGATTCCTGTTCTCGCAATACGAATGGAGTGCCAGCAAGACACGAGACTATTGTCATAGCTACAGCAAAGTAGACTACATGTGGTGTGCCGGGTGCTGAATGAAAGCCTCTGCACAAAGCTGGCGTACAATTTTCATGGACCCTAAAAAAAACGATCGTCGCACACAAAACTTGATGCGGTCAAGAACTGTAAAGGTCACGACAAATATTTTTTTCGGTAAGATCGTGTAAATGTGTCGTAGACACACCTCCACATGACAGCCAATTAGTAAGGTTTGTCACGTGAACAAAACGTCCCAGCACACCAGTGTTAGAGAGCAAACCCGCAACATTTACAATTAATGCCATCACTTTACTCTAATTAAGACCCAAAATAGGAAGACTTATTTAGCATTCTGGCAATAACCTGACGATGCTGATTGTAATCACCAACAAAACGTCAAAATGGTCAATTGTAAATGTTGTGGGTTTGCTCTCCAACACACTACTGGCAGGTCCTGAGGTTGTAACTAATTTGTATGTTTTGCTCGTTCCAATCCGTACTAATTAACTGCATCGGGTGGAGGCAGGTGTACAACACTTTTACATGTATGTGATCTAATCCAAAAAAAACTACTTCATCATGAATAATTGGGCACGAAAGCCGACTATGTGTTAAACAGGAATGGAGTGGCAGCCAAGGAATGGAGCGCATCCGAGAGGACTCCCACTGAGGAAATGCATCAAGCAGATTGGTTCGTGTGCGGGTGCCCAATGGATCATTGCACCGCAGGATCACAAGAGGTGGCAGCAACTTGGGGATGCCTTCACCCAGTAGTGGATTGATCATGGACAACGACCACAACTGGACGCGTGTACCGCGGCGCGGGCGTTCGGATGGATTCTATTAAACTTTTTGGTAAATTGTTACTTGCAACCACCCTTCCTCTCACTCCTGACGCTACCCACACCGCCAACCCCAAAAAATCTGCCTTCTACTTCTTTCCTTTTCCTGTCCAGCCCCTCCCCGCAGGGACACTGGGGTCCGTGAACTTCCAGCAATAGCGGCAGCGGCTATACTCCACTGTGGGCTATCATCGTCATCAAATTCCATCTGCTCCATCCGTCAGTCTCCTGTCTTTTTCCTCCCTCTGCCTCTGTTTCTTTCCACTATCATTGTCATTGCTTTTGTCAGATTGCTGTTTTGGTGGTTTTGTCACGACACGACCGTACAGCGACACTTTGCGTTGCTCACTTCTTGCCGTTGTTGTTCAGTCCACCTAGAAATAGGAATCCCCCCCATCCCCAAAAAGGGTCCTCTCCGCCCCTCCTAGGTTCCCATGCATCAAGTGAAAGGTGTCCCTCTTCTCACAGTTCATGGGTTTGCAAGTCCGCTGCGTGACCTCGCGTACCTCCGGGAAGGAAGAGGTCACGGCGACATCACCCCAGGGTCACAACCTCCACGTCTTCGGCACACGCCAGTCCGTGCGTCGCTGCCACGGAGACCTGGGCAGGGTGGTCCGACGCCAAGCTCACGTGGTAAGACCCTGTGGGGTCGGGAGGTCACGGAGGGCGTGGGTCAGGCTAAACGTGAGGTTGGCTCAAGGTGAATTCAGGCCAGGGAAGTGTGGAGTGGCGAGTAGTGAGGGAGAGCTGTACCCTCGTGCTGGGCAAGGGCACCCACGGCGGCCGCCGCTTCGCCAGAGAAGAGGATTTGGTTCCCACCGGGCAGGGTCGTCACCGCAGTGACCGTGCCTTCGCTGTAAAGACAATCAGAATATTTATTTACATTGGAAGAATCCGATGAGCTACAAAGCTCTTTTTCACAAATGTCGAGTAGATCTCCCTTGTAGCCTTAACAGACTGTTGGGTCAAGTACTGTTAGTGAACACCTATGTGTAGTCCGGGACGGCACACAAAAAGGTGGGTGGCCAGGACCACGCTGGGCTGCCTTCGTCTCCCTAGTGGCGATGTTTACACACCGCACCAGGTACACATTTGAGGCTGAGTCGACATAGGGGAGGCCCAGGACTGGTTCAAATAATCATCACTGGTGTTGGCCATGAGCGGAAATCGAACTCGTGTCGCCGGATTCATAGCGCAGCGCGCTAACCACTGCGCTACCACCCCCCACACAGACACACACTGACAGACTCGTGTTCACTTTTGTGTGTATGAGTGTTAGGGTGCGTGTGTTACGTGTGTAGTATGTTAGGTGCCAGGGTAAGTGTTAGGGCAATTGTCAGTGTGATTGTCAGTATGAGTGCTGGGTCTCGGTGGCACAGGCTGGCACCTGTTAATGGCCACAGTGACGGTGGCCGTGTCGTGGACCCCCGCCTGGTAGACCATGTCGGAGAGGGTTTCCACCTCCGTCCATCCCCTGTCCATCTTTCAGGGGAGGAGACAGGTGGTGAGTGGTCGGTCATACTTCGTCATCAGCCATCTTCTATCCGCTGGATGAAGGGGTTCGACGGGGGGTGTACTACGGGTTTCTCCCAAACTCTCATGGATAGAACTGGATAAATATAAGCACCAACACACTTACCACATTCGCCATCACCCATGCACTCACTATCACCCATGCACTCACCAGACACACACTCACTATGCACCCCATCACCACACTCACCATCACCTGTACGAGGGACAAGGAGCCATCAGGGTTGATCGCCTGCACCATGGTGGCGCCACCGCCGTCATCGTCCGTGCCAAGTAGCATGCTCGTCAGTGTGGTGGCCTGCTCCTGCTCCGCAATGGTGGCACCATTGTCGCCGGCAACATCGTCGCCGGCCCGCCCTCCCGCCGCGGCCACCTGTGGCATGGGCCCATCGTCGAAGGCGTAGAGCAGGTCCTCACGCCCGTGCTGCCGGTAGCAGTTCTTGACGATGGTGCGCAGTGCATGCGTCCAAGACACCTGCCACCGTGCGCCACACGGCCGCCCGGTTGCACAGCTTCATGAGTTGGTGGCTGCTCTGGTTAATACTGCGGTGCGTGTTAATAAAGAGTAATTCCACAAATGAGTGGATGCCAAAGATTCACTGAGCTCTGCAGTCCTCTACATATTAAGGTGTTATTGGCCAATTGATATGTGTGTATACATATGGGAGGAAACAAGAGTACACGGACAAAACCCAAACGTGCGAGGGTGAAACACTATCCTGTACAGATGAGTCCACATTTTTGTTATACCGTCTTCTCGGCTATATATATGTATCTATGTTGAACTTCTTCCATGCCGTACGTAGCAAACCGTGCTATGGGGGATCTTTGTATGTGTCTGTGTCGATGTGTGGTTCCCACCAGCTGTTTCTGCTGGTGGGAGCGTGCGTCGGAGCGCACGTTGGCCCACGGCACGTGGGGTGGCCACCACGGCGGTCGGCACGCCTCCTTTCCCCAACCTGGCTTCCCGCGGCCCGTTGAAAACTTCAGCATCTCAGGGATGAAGGCCCGCAGCTGGGCCTGCTCCATCACCACAGTGTCACAAACAAAAGACAAAGATCCACCGTATAGCCTCAAGAGCCTTTTGGGGCAAGTCTTGTTAGTGTGCACCTATGAAGGCCAGCAAGGCACACGAGGGGGTGGGTGGCCAACACCATGCCCGGCTGCCTTTGTATCCCTAGTGGCAATGTCTACACACCACACCAGGTACTCATTTGAGGCTGAATCGACCTAGGGGAGGCCTAGGACCGGTTCAAATAATTTTCACTGGTGTTGGCCATGAGTAGGAATTGAACACGGATCGCCGGGTTCATAGCGCAGTGTGCTAACCGCTACACTATCGCGCCCAACACAAACATGTGCATACACACACGAGCGTGTACACACACATGCATGTGTGTGTGTACACGTGCCTGCGTCATCTTGTCCACGGATACGGGGATGCCGTCGATAAGGAGTGGCGGGAGCTCCGGTTGCCGTTGCCCCCCGTGCACCGCGGGGGCATGCACTGAAAGTGCCTCCTCCACATCCTCCAGGATGGACGACTTGTACCGGCGCACCTGGGGCAACGAGTGTATGAAGACAAAGATCCCCCATACAACCCTTAACAGACTGTTGGGGCAAGTGCTGTTCGCGAGTAGTGCCTATGAAGGCCGGCACGGCACACGAGGTGTGGGTAACTAGCACCACGCCCGGCTGCCTTGGTCTGCTTGGTGCTGATGTTTACACATAATACGATGTACTAATTTTAGGCTGAGTCAACGTAGGGGAGGCCCAGGACTGGTTCAACGTGTATAAACAGACGCGCACGCAAGTGCACGGATAGACATCTACACACTCACGCACTAAGACAACACAGATTCCCCATTGGGCCCACACAAGCTGTCAGGGCAAGTGCTGTTGGCGAGGATCTATGAGGGGGCGGGATGTGGCCAGCACAATGGCCAAACACCTTTGTTTCCCCAATGCTTAGATTTAATACACACCGAACCAGGAACTATTTAAGGTCGACCGAGGGGAAGCCCTGGACTGATTCAGATATTCGCTGCCACTGATGTTCGCTATGAGCAGGGATCAAACTTGGGTCACTCGGTTCATAGCGCAGTGGTGGGGAACAGCTTCTTCGCACGGTTCAAAATCGTCCAAGCTCACTCCACGCTCTCCCTTGCTCACCCCATGCTCTCCCTCGCTCACCATTTCACCGCTCTCACGCACGCTCACCCCAACCCAACGAGTCCCCACTTACCCAATTCTCCCCGGCTCACTCTGGCTCACCCTTCCTCACATCCCTGCTCAATCGCTCGCCCACTCGCTCGCTCGCTCGCCCGCCCGCCCGCCCGCCCGCCCGCCCGCCCTCACTCCCTGCTCGTCCCTGTACCACGTTGTCGAGCGGCGCGGCGCCGAAGGCCTTGAAGACGGGGTTGGGTTTACGTGGAGACACAAACAGCACCACTGCTTGCTGCCCCACGCGGGTCGTGTACTCGTCTATCATGCCCCTCAGCTTCCTAGGGGGGTAGGGGGGCAGGGGTGGGGGAGAGGGGGTGAATCACGACATTACCAGTGAGGAAGCAGCGAATTTGGATGCAACATGAGTGAGAAGAGAGTAAGGGGAGTGTGAGGACAGGGTGAGGAGAGTGAGAAAACAGTGAGGAGACAGTGAGGAGAGGGTAATGAGAGTGAGAAAAGTGAGGCAAATGCGGGAGACAGTGAGAAGAGGGTGAGGAAAGGGTGAGGGGAGCGTGCAGAGAGAGTTAAGAGTGAGGAGTGTGAGGCGAGAGGTAGGCTAGATTGAGGAGCATAGGGTAAGGCACGAGTAACACGAGAGGGAGGAGCGAGTGAGAAGAGAGTGCGGGGTGTGTGCCACTTGGCTGACCGCAGAAGCCTCGTCTGCTGCCGCTTGCGCACGAACGGGTTCGACTCGAAGGCATGCAGCCGCCGCCTCCTCCTCCCCGTCGCCACGGCAGCAGCGGCCGCCAACCCCACGGGGCCTCGGGTGATACAACGCGGACGCGTTAGCTCTCACAGCAGTGGCGGCATCGCGCATCCAGCCTGTGAGTGTGGGTGAGCATGGGCGAGCCTGGGTGAGCGTCCTTACCAGAAGCGGCGAGGTGTGCCGTGACCTGATCGGCCACGCTGGACGCAAGGAGACCACCGCCACCATCGCCGCCATCGTCGTAACCATCATCGTCGTCGTCATCATCAGCTGAGGATGATGACGGTTCATCATTATCTTCGTCAAAATCTTCAATATCTTCTTCGTGAGCCATCGTAGGTCCCAGGACCCTTGTGTAGGCATCCATCTGTTGGGTGATAGTGTGTCAAGAGTCGGTGTGTTAGGCGAGGAGTCAGTGTGTCAGGAGTTGGTGTGTCAGGCGACGAGTCAGTGTACCAGACCTCCACCTGATTGGCAATCGCTGTGTCATCAGTGGTGGGACTTGGTAGCTCCTCCTCCATGCCGGCCGGCTCCTCCATGGCTGCATGGGTCAACCACAAAACATGGGAAACACGGGGAGGAAATGATTCAATCGGCAGGATGTGATTCATTTGTGTAGTCATTGATAACTGGGATGAGACCACTCACTACACTTCAAAACCCAATTTAATCACAACTCAGTCCATGTCAGTCTATGGGTCGACATAATTCTATGGTTCTCTTCAAAAGTTATTGGTGACCGGGCTGAGACCACTAACTCGCTATACTCGGCTTAATCATTGGTGGATGGCCGACACCTCGATTTGAACCCAAGTTCTCAACAGTGCTGGCTGAGTGATTGACAAAGGCCATTATGAATAGCACAAGCCACACTAACACGACAATGTGGTTGTTTAACTGCTCATTGAGGAATGTTGCAGGACACAATTTTAGACATGAAAGTTAATTCTAAGGAGAATGTAAATATTGCCAATAGATTTGTCAATATTGGACCTCTAAGGTTCCATTTACACTGTTCAGTGTAAACATCGATTAACGCGGTTCTCTATGTACAGTGCAAAAGACGTTCAAACATACATATACATTCGTCAGCCCATGATCAATCGCCTGGAATGCAACTGGTCTTATCAGATTTCCAAAGCAAAGCATGGTTGAACCTGGCTATTGATTAAATGGGCGATAACCACAAACACAATCAGGTTGTCATAAAGCAGCTGTGCGATACGTTTTGGGTAGCAGAGGGGAAGGAAACAAAACCCTTCATTGCACTGTACATTCTAAATCTTTAAATAAAAACCCAACGCAGGACCCTTCTGAAAAGGAGTCCTACGACTCAGTGTGGCTTTCATGAATACGTTCTTATCGACAAAACGGGCTGTACATGTACATGTTGGCATCCATATGTACGCGAGTTAGAATTCCGTGTGAATAAGTGGAGAGATTATTACCGCGTGGGTGAATGGGTGGATGAAATTACCGTGTGAGTGAATGAGATTACCAAGCTAATGAGTGAATTAGGTGTCAGCTCAGTTGTTGGTGCATGACGTTTGTCAAGTTCCCACCTGAAGGACGCTTGTGTTGCGCCCGAAACGTCGCGATTTAATTTTTTTCATTTTTTTACCTATGTGACTTTACCGAAAAAAAAACAAAGAGTATGAATCTTTGCAGTCACGAAAACTTCAAATCTAGAATTAAGTCAAATAGAGGCCGACCGAAATTCGGTTTCGATTTCGGCGCCGAAAGTTGGCAAATGGCCACTTTCGGCAGACTTTCGGTTTCGGCCGAAAGTAAATTTTTAACTTTCGCTTTTGGCCGAAACTGATATTGACTTTCGGTCGTCAGACGAAGATCTATTTTTAGAATATAACGCTAGTGCTACGTCTATCAATCTACCTATCGGCCCGTCCGTCGGCGCTAGGCAATCCTATGCGATAGGCTGCAAACACACACACACGTCAGCAGCAGCAGCTTGGGCAGCTTGGGAGCGAAGTTACAGCCGCAACGATGGTCTGCTAATGTCAACAGACGGCAGCCTGCATCTGTATCCGTGGGTGGAGTCTCTTTGGCGGGACGACAACAAAGTGCCTCTGTTGTCTGTTCCCAGCCGCCTGCCCGCTTTGGCTTATGTGTTGCGTTCGCTTAAGTCTACACGCGTGTTGATACCGAAATTCGAAGTCTGATAATATTGATATTCAGTTAGTTAATAGTTCCGTGGCGAATTAGTGATAACGAAATTATGAACCTGAGTGAAGTAGAAAATTCAAGTTAATAAACGGAGCAGTTAATCAGAAGAACATCGAAACATGCGGTGTGGGATTACTTCACTAAAGTCGATTCTGAATAAAGGCGCAGCAACCTGCTGGGCGAGAATGCGGAAAAACTGGTATTTCTTAACTACAACATTCGTTTGTTTGGATATAATTACGAAGTAACACCTAAAGATTTGATATTTAGCGACTCTTACTGCAGGCTCTGAATGATTAGTTCGAGATTTATTTTTAATTAAAGTAGTATTGCATCATGACATTTCATAAATCTTGTGTTCGGTAACTTCGGTTATAAACCTTTCTGTTTCGGTCTCCGTCGAAAGTGAAGTTAAACTTTCGGTTTCGTCTGAAAGTCAATTTTTCACTTTCGGTTTCTGGCCAAAACCGAAACCAGAAATTCAGTTTCGGTCGGCCTCTCAAGTCAAATGTCAACCAAGATATGTTGTGACGTGTGAGGTCATGTAAGTGACCTTGCGTACGACGCTAAATAGTGAGGGGGGAGGTCACCTCCAGTGCGGCTGCGCAGCTCGGCTCAACTGCGGACTGAATCGCGGTGCCTCTCCACTGCCAAGCTCCTAGTTCCTATAGCCCCAAGTTTGTATAGCCGCCAGCTCCTATAGCTCCACATTCATATCGCCCCAAGTTTGTATAGCTCCTCGTTCCTATAGCTCCACATTCATATCACCCCAAGTTTGTATAGCCGCCAGCTCCTATAGCTCCACATTCATATCGCCCCAAGTTTGTATAGCTCCTCGTTCCTATAGCTCCACATTCCTATCACCCCAAGTTTGTATAGCTCCTCGTTCCTATAGCTCCACATTCATATCACCCCAAGTGTGTATAGCTCCTCGTTCATATCACCCCAAGTTTGTATAGCTCCTCGTTCCTATAGCTCCACATTCATATCACCCCAAGTGTGTATAGCTCCTCGTTCCTATAGCTCCACATTCATATCACCCCAAGTGTGTATAGCTCCACATTCATATCACCTCGAGTTTGTATAGCTCCTCGTTCCTATAGCTCCCAACTACTTGAGCCAGCTGTTTAAGGCCACCTACGCCAGACTTAAGAATAGCCCACAGTGCGTCTGCGGTCACGGGCCTCACCACAACGTTCGGTGGGTCGTAAGGGTTTATCTTGACCATACTTCATCACGCTGGTCGGTGTGGATTGTTGGGGGCGGGGGAGGGCATAGACTTTAGAGTACAGTATAACTATGTAGCACTATATTTCACAGCACTGCCCTCAGCAGCCTCTAACACCTGTTTATCCATGTGGGTCGCCCAGAAAAGCACTACTCAGGCTCAAACATGCTCAAGGTCTGAAGTTTGATGCGCATTTTTTTCATTGCATTATTCGTGACGCAGCAACGTTAGATATTACAATTATGTTCGTTAAAGTATACATTACTTACAACTGCAATTCATAAAAACTCCCCTACACGTTTGTTACTTTACACTGTGGGTCTAGGCTATATGTGTACGCCTATGTAAACATAA